TTCGTGTAAACTCAAACCCCGTCTAGGGCTCTTCCCTCCCGCAAAGGTGCACGCATAAAAGTCAGAACTAGGCGTTGAAGTCAGGCAGGTGACCAGGGACCACTTCTACCTGCGGGGCCACGTTACTCAGGTAGAAGGTGTCGTTCATCGCCCGCTGGCTCCAGCGATGGTTGGCGGCGGCGGCCAAGTGGCCGCGGTCAAAGCCGCTGCCGCGGTAGTCCGCGTTGGTGGCACGGTGGTACGCATGCACAGAGTCGTCCTCTCGGAAGTCGCAGGCGCTACGGTCGCCGTCGCCGCGGAGCCGCTCGGGCCGCAGCTGCTCTAACACCCACAGCGCACCGCGCGTGCGCGGGTCGTAGCTCAGCACGTAGGACTCGCGGCTCCGGAGCTGCGCCACGCCGGGCAGCCCGTACTTGGCCAGCTCCCCGGTGCCGCCCGCCGGCCCTCCCGGCAGCGCGGGCAGATCGGCCGCGACCACGGGCAACACTGGCACCCGGCTCAGCAGCCCCGGCGCTCCCCCCGCCCGACGCCGCCAGTGCTCGGCCGCGGCGCCCAGTCCCGCGCCTAGCGCCAGGGTCAGGCCAACCCGCAGGGCACGCATGGCCTCCAGGAGGGCGAGCGTGGTCGAGGAGCTAAGGGAAGGAGCCTAGGACCGGGACCAGCCCACGCGAGTGTCCTCCAAGACTTTCCCCTGCCCTTTTGAGACGCGGCCTGGGCGTGACACCGCCGTGCCCGCTTGCCATTGGTCCCTGCCAAGTCTGGCTCCGCCTCGCCTCTTGAGCCTCAGGAAACCTGGCCTCCTGCAAGGCCTGTAGCGCCACCCTCGGGTCCGCGAATTTAACCTTCACACAGGCCTGGGAAATCGAGTTGCTTGAACAGGACAGAAGCCCATGTCTGTCAGACTCCTCCTGTCCACCCATAATTGAGTCACCAAATGAGCCAAAGACTACTTTAGATTCGCTGGCAAAAGGACGCAAGTGCAGGCTGTAGCTGCTGACAGCAGCCCGGGGCTGAAGCTTGCTAGTAAGGCTATAGAAAGAGGCTTGAAAAGCCTACCCTAGAGTCATGGGTCAACCCCCCCCCCCCTTAAGACAGGGTTTCTTTGTGTAGCCCTGGCTGTTCTGGAATGTAAGACTTTAAGACAATTCTGAAGCCATTTCTGACCGTTCTGAATCCTCTCAGCCTCTGTGCCTTAGTGCTTCCTCTCCTCTGGGAACCAAGGACCTAACAGCTACACATGCACGTACCCATATACGTATGTTTTGATTCGGTCCCCTGGGAAATGGGGTCAAAATGACCTCTTACCTCATCTGATCTGGCAATTACTGGTAATAGCTCTTTTGAATAAGCCAATCACAACCCCGCCTTGCTTCTGTGTCCTCCTTTAAAAGTAGCCTGTGCCAGCTATTCAAGGTCTCTCTGCTTCCCGAATGCTGAGGGACCCTGTCATGACAGAATTAATAAAATCCTCATGCTTTTGCATCGGCTGTGGTGTGTGAGATGGCCTCTGGGGGCGACTCCTCCTCGGTGTTTGGATGCTAGAGTCCAACAGGAACTCATTCTGTAGACCAGGCTGGCCTCGAACTCACCAATACCCACTTGCCTCTGCCTCCCGAGTGCTGGGATTAAGGGCTTGCACCACCACTGCCCACTCCTTTCAACTCGCTTTTAAAGGGGTGAGCCTGGGAAGTATGTTGTTTAAGACAGTGTTTCCTGTCCCTAGTAGCTGGAATACACAGTCCTCAAAACTAAATCAATGTTATACTTTTGGTTGTGAGCCTAGCCATCTCTCCAGCCCATAAATCAATGTTAAAAAGGAGGGAAAAACATTTTTGGTGGTGGGGAGCCAGCTCAGTGGGTAAAAGCAATGCCTGGTGACATGATTTCCATCCCTGGAACTCACATAGGAGCCAGAGACAACAGCTCACATCTGTAATCCCGGCATCCCCAAACTGAGATTTGAGGCCGAGGCAGGAGCCACTGCACTGCACAGTGGATGAAATAAGAGACCTTGAAAGAGAGTGGAAGGAGGGAGCTGCCTCATGAGCCCGTACCTCAATATGTATGTCCCTGTGCACGGGATGGCATGAGCTTATGCATGTGCGCGC